TTTTTTTTTTGAGAGGGAGTTTCACTCTTGTTACCCAGGCTGGAGTGCAATGGTGCGATCTCCGCTCACCGCAAGCTCAGCCCCCTGGGTTCAGGCAATTCTCCTGCCTCAGCCTCCTGAGTTGCTGGGATTACAGGCACGCACCACCATGCCCAGCTGATTTTTTGTATTTTTAGTAGAGACGGGGTTTCACCATGTTGACCAGGATGGCCTCGATCTCTTGACCTAGTGATCCACCCGCCTCGGCCTCCCAAAGTGCTGGGATTACAGGTGTGAGCCACCGGGCCCGGTCGAAATAAATTTTTTAAAAGGCACACTTAAGTAGATATCTCATGTTCAGGGTTTGACAGGCTTAATATTCCTAAAATGTTTATACTACCCAAAGCGATCTATAATTTCAATGCAATCCCTATCAAAATCCCAGTGGTATTTTTCCTAGAAATAGAAAAAAAGTACTAACATTTACATTAAGCCATAAAGATCTCAAATAGCTGAAACAATATTGAGATAGAAAAACAAAACTTTCTAATTTAAAAATATATCACAAGACTACAATAATTAAAACAGATGGTACTGATATAAAGACAAAAATATAGACCAATGAAATAGAATAGAGAACCCATAAATATATCAATACATGTACCATCAATTGATCTTTGGCAAGAGGGCCAAGGACACACGATGAGGAAAGGATAGTCTCTTCAAGAAATGGTGTTGGGAAAACTGGATATCCACAAACAGAAGGATTAAAGTTGACCTTTATCTTACATTATACATAAAAATCAACTCAACATGGATTAAAGACTTAGATATAAGACCTGAAATTTATAACTCCTATAAGGGAACATAGAGAAACAGTTTATGATATGGTGTTGCATTTTATGGGCATGATATCACAGGCCCAAACAACAAAAGCAAAAATAGACAAATAGAACCATGTTAAATTAAAAATTTTTTTTCACAGCAAAGAAAACAATCAACAGCTGAAAAAAGCAACCTATGAAATGTAAAAAAAAATTGCCTTAAAAAATTAGAATTCTACCACTTGTGATAACATAGATGAACGTGGTATATTTTTTCCTTTACAGACAAGCAAATGTTGAGATTTTTTGTCACCTGTAGGCCTACCTTACAAGAGCTTCTAGAGGAAGCACTAAATATGGAAAGGAAAAACCGGTAAGACCTAGTAGATATTATGTTAAGTAAAAAAGCCAGTTATGGAAGAATACTGCTTGATGCCTCTTGTCTGAGGTACTAAAAATAATCAAATTCATATTAAAAAAAAGTCGAATAGTTGTCACCAGAGCCTAAGGGGAGTGGGGAGTTGCTAAATCAAGGGAATAAAATAATCATTGTGCAAGAAAATAAATTTCAGAGATCTGCTATACAATATTGTCCCTATAGTTAAAAATACTGTATTGTACAATTAAAAATTTGTTAAGAGGTTAGATCTCATGCTAAGTGTATTTACTACAATAATATACAAGTGTAAAAAATAGATTCAGTTTTAGCCTTATTCAATTATAATAGTTAATACATGAAGAATATCAGACCCATGATGACCTGATCAGGCCGGGGCTCTGTATGTGCAAGACTATGCTTGGAATGCAACTGAATGGCCCTAGGCTTGGTAGCATCAGGTGATTCCAACATGTCAATTTCTCATGGGTGGTAAGATATAGTACTGGATTTGTTTTGAACTTTAGGGAACAGAGGCAGATTAGGATAACAAATCAGAAACCATGGATCAACCCAATGTAGTAAAAACAGGTAGCCTCTCAAGGCAGAAAGTAGACCTAGAAGTTATTTAAACAAATTTCAGACCATAGGATAGTGAAGCACATAACTTATATAAAATGGGAAGTGGCACCCCAGGAAATATAATAGCATGGAGATCATTCTGGAAGGGTTGTAACTTATGTGATGTTTTATTTATATCAGAATATTTATTAAGATTCAGAAAGCTAACATTAAAGCTTATTTACCTGTATCTAGTTATAAATATTTACCAAATGAGAAAAATACTATCAATAGAACTTAATTTGGATTGCCAGTGGAGTAACTTCATGTGCTTGGTCTATAAAGAAACTCATTATTTGACAGGACACCATTGTATCCTCTGCTTTCTTTTGTAGACTTATGCTAGCATTTACAATTATTTTATTTTAAATAACTATTTTTCTGGAATGAGATCACATAAATCTCTTCCTTCAGCTACTCCAAGACTTGCATCATGTCAGATCCATTATATTAATTTCTAGTTCATCAACTTTCATCACTACTGTAAACCTTGTAAAACATGGGCTCAAGCCATTCTAGTTGAAAGAAATTTCTACTGTTATAATTCATTTATATGAAGGTCAAGGGGAATTTGTAACTCTCAGATGTTGCAATATGTTCAGGCCTTGTGTGAAAGCCATGGCTTTCTGAACTCAGACATGCCTGAATTAAAATCATAAACACAGCAATCACTATCTATATGTTTTTGAGAAAATTATCTAGCCTTTTGAAATGTAAGTTTTCATATTCCTCAAATGAAGAGACTAACAGTCACTTTATATTTATCTTGGGAATTATGTGGTATAGCAGAATACATTTTATGGGAGAGTACCTATAATAGATTCATGAATACTCCCTTTTTTTGTCTTTCGCTTTTTAAAAAACTAAACAATCTTTCAGGGTACACATTTGTGGAAGTTGTATATGCAGAATGTTCTGCTGTATTTGTTTTCTAGAAAAAATGCTAAAGAATTCCTGCAATCCTATTTTAACAGAAAGCCACATCTGCCAGGGGACAGACTTATCTGTCATGATATCACAATCATCCTCATTAGCAGAATAATGACCAAAACTATACTGTCAGGATACTTATCTGACAACTGGCTCTAAATAGGACAAACTGATGTGATTGTCAGAATTGAAATCACAGCATCTCAGGCTGAGAATCAGGTTCAGTCAGAGATTTCCATTTTCATTGGTGCCCTCAAATCTGAAGCCACTCTCACAAAATTGCAGTCATAAATGCAATTAGGAAATAGAAATATCTTCATCTGGGCTAAAAATGCTAAGAATGTAAGTCTCAGTTTTCATTCTTATTCCTCTAGAACAAATGTGGTTTAAAGAATGAATCTGGAAATAGGAACAGCCCTGGAGTGCAGTTCCCTGAAAGAACAATGTAGAGGGTGAGTGCTCACCACATTTCTGAAAGAGTTATTGCTGCCCACAGACCAGAAGATTCCCAGGCTAAAAAGTGCCATGAGTTTCCATCACGGCTGTTTCAGCCGGTGCAGTGGGTCTCCGCACAAAAACTCACACAAATCTGGGTAGCTGTTTCAACTGGCACTTGGAATGCTTGGGAGACAGAGCCACCCATTCAACTGAAAAAAAGGGGGCTGACACAGGGAGCCACGTGTTCTGGCTTGGCACGTCTCACCCCAACAAAGACCAGAAATCTGACACACTCTGGATTGAGAGTTTCACAGCAAGCACAGCTGGACCCAGGACAGTCCAGCTCTGTTAGGGGAAGGACATCCACCATTACCCAGGTAGTCCGCCACTACCAAGGCAGTCCACTATTACTGAGGTTGTCCACCATTACTGAGGCAGACCACAATTACTGAGGCAGTTCTAACTATAACTCTATAAACAAAACTGCAAGGAAGTTCACACAGCAGCTGGGCAGAGCCCACAACAGCCCAGCAACACCTCTGGTGGCAAACTGTGACTAGGCAACCTCCTTGCTGGGCACGGTATCTCTGAAGAAAGGTAGCAGCACATCAGGAACTTATAAATAAAATTCCACCTTTCCAGGACAGAGCACCTGGGAAAAAAAGGCAGTTATGAGTTCCGCTGCAGCAGACATGAAGATACCTGCCCAGCAGCTCTGAACGGAACAACAGAGCTCACAGCTCAGCAACTGAGCTTCTTATAAGGTACAGGCTATCTCCTCAAGAAGCTCCCCGATGCCCATATATCCAAAGAGACACATAAAGCAGAGCTCAGGCTGACATCTGGCAGATACCCTTCTGGGAAAAAGATAACAGAAGAAGAAATTGGCAGGAATTCATACTGCTGTGCAGCTACCACAGGTGATCCCCAGGCAAGCAAGGTCTGGAGTGGACCTCCAGCAGTCCTGCAGCAGCGGAGGCTGACAGTTAGAGGGAAAACTGAAAAACATAAAGAAATAACTTCATCATCAACAAAAAGGATGTCCACTCAGAGAACCCATCCAAAAATCACCAACTACAAAACCACTGGTAGATAAATACACAAAGATGGGAAGAAACCAGCACAATAATGATGAAAACACCCAAAACCAATGCCTCTCCTCCTCCAAGGGATCACAACTCATCACCAGCAAAGGAACAAAGCTGGATGGAGAATGAGTCTGATGAATTGACAGAAACAGGCTTCAGAAGGTGGGTAATAATAAACATCTCTGAGCTAAAAGAACATGTTCTAACCCAATGCAAAGAAACTAAGAACATTGAAAAAAAGGTTTGACAAAATGCTAACAATAATAAACAGCTTAGAGAAGAATATAAATGACTTAATGGAGCTAGAAAAACACAACATGAGAACTTCACAAAGCATACGCAAGTTTCAACAGCCAAATTGACCAAAGCAGAAGAAAGGATATCAGAGATTGAAGATCAATTCAATGAAATAAAACGAGAAGGCAAGATTAAAGAAAAAGTGAAAAGAAATTAAGAAAGCCTCCAAGAAATATGGGATTATGTCAAAAGACATAATCTACATTCGATAGGTGTACCTGAATGTGACGGAGAGAATGAATCCAAGCTGGAAAACACTCTTCAGGATATCATCCAGGAGAACTTCTCCAACCCAGAAAAGCAGGCCAATATTCAAGTCTAGGAAATAAAGAGAACACCACAAAGATATTCCTCAAGAACAACCCCAAGGCACATAATCATCAGATTCACCATGGTTGAAATGAAGGGAAAAATGCTAAGGACAGTCAGAGAGAAAGGTCAGATTATTCACAAAGGGAAGCCCATCAGGCTCACAGTGAATCTCTCGGCAGAAACCCTATAAGCCAGAAGAGAGTGGGGGCCAATATTTAACATCCTTAAAGGAAAGAACTTTCAACCTAGAATTTCATATCCAGCCAAACTAACCTTCATAAATGAAGGAGAAATAAAATCCTTTATGAACAAGAAATTGCTCAGAGAGTTCGTCACCAGCAGGACTGCCTTACAAGACCTCCTGAAAGATGCACTACACATAGAAAGGAACAACCAGTATCAGCCACTCTAAAATGTACCAAATGGTAAAAAGCATTGACACAATGAAGAAACTGCATCAATTAATGGGCAAAACAACTGGCTAGCATCAAAATGATACAATCAAATTCACACATAACAATATTAACCTTAAATGTGAATGGGCTAAATGCTCCAAAAGACACAGACTGGCAAATTAGATAAAACGTCAAAACCCATCAGTGTGCTGTATTCAGGAAACCCATCACACGTGCAAGGACACACATAGGCTCAGAATAAAGGGATGGAGGAAGATTTTCCAAATAAATGGAGAGCAAAAAAGCAGGAGTTGCAATCCAAGTCTATGATAAAATAGTCATTAAACCAACCAAGATCAAAAGAGACAAAGAAGGACATTACATAATGGTAAAAGGAACAATGCAACAAGAAGAGCTAATGATCCTAAATATATACACATCCAATACAGGAGCACCCAGGTACATAAAGCAAGTTCTTAATGACCTATAAAGAGACTTAGACTCCCACACAATAATAGTGGGAGACTTTAATACTCCACTGTCAATATCAGACAGAATAAAGAGCCAGACAATTAACAAGGATATCCAGGACTTGAACTCAGATCTGGACCAAGCAAATCTAATAGACATATACAGAATTCTCCACCCCAAATCCACAGAATATACATTTCTCTCAGCACCACATCACACCTATGCTAAAATTGACCACATAATTGGAAGTAATTCACTCCTCAGCAAATTCAGAAGAATGGAAATCATAAGAAACAGTCTCTCAGATCACAGTGCAATCACATTAGAACCCAGGATTAAGAAACTAACTCAGAACTACACAACTGGCTCTTGAATGTTGACTGGATAAACAATGAAATGAAGGCAGAAGGAAAGATGTTCTTCAAAACCAACTAGAATGAAGACACAACATACCAGAATCTCTGGGACACATTTAAAGCAGTGTCTAGAGGGAAATATATAGCAATAAATCCCCACATGAGAAGCAAGGAAAGATCTAAAATCGACACCCTATCATCAAAATTGAAAGAGTTAGAACAGCAAGATCAAAAAACCTCAAAAGCTAGCAGAAGACAAGAAATAACTAAGATCGGAGCAGAACTGAAAGACATAGAGACACACACACAAAAACTCTTCAAACAATTAGTAAATCCAGGAGCTGGTTTATGGAAAATATCAACAAAATACACAGACCATTAGCCAGATTAATAAAAAAGAACAGAGACAATAATCAAATAGATGCAATAAAAAACGATAAAGGGGATGTCACCACAGATTCCACAGAAATACAATCTACTATCAGAGATCTACAAACTCTATGCACATAAACCAGTAAACCTGAAAGAAATGGATAAATTCCTGGACACTTGCATCCTCCCAAGTCTAAACCAAGAAGAAGTCAAAACCCTGAATACACCAATAACAAGGGCTGAAGTTGAGGCAGCAATTAATACCCTACCAACCAAAAAAAACCCAGGTCCAAATGGGTTCACAGCCAAATTCTACCAGACATGCAATGAGGAGCTGGTATCACTCCTTCTGAAACCATTCCAAGCAATCCAAAAAGAGAGACTCTTCCCAAATCATTTTATGAGACCAACATTATCCTGATACCAAAACCCGGCAGAGACTCAACAAGAAAAGAAAACTTCAGGCCAATACCCATAATGAACATAGATGCAAAATCTTCAATAAAATACTGGCAAACCAACTGCAGCAACATATCAAAAAGTTTATCCATCATAATCAAGTAGGCTTCATCCCAGGGGTGCAAGGCTGGTTAATATATGCAAGTCTATAAACGTAATTCACCACATAAACAGAATCAAAGACAAAAATGAGATGATTATCTCAATAGATGCAGAGAAGGCCTTCGACAAAATTCAACAGCCATTTATGCTAAAAACTCTCAATAAACTAGGTATTGATGGAACTTATCTCAAAATAATAAAAGCTCTTTACAACAAACCCACAGCCAATATCATACTGAATGAGCAAAAATAGAAAGCATTCCCTTTGAAATCTGGCACTAGACAAAGATGCCCTCTCTCACCACTCCTACTCAATATACTATTGGAAGTTCTTGTTGGAGTAATCAAGTAAGAAAAAGGAATAAAGGGTATTCAATTAGGAAAGGAGGAAGTCAAATTGTCTTTATTTGCAGACGACATGATTGTATATTTAGAAGACCTCACCGTCTCAGTCCAAAATCTCCTGAAACAGATAAGCAACTTCAGCAAAGTCTCAGGATACAAAATCAATGTGAAGAAATCAGAAGCATTCCTATATACCAATAATAGACTTAAAAAGAGCCAAATCAAGGATAAGCTGCCATTCGCAATTGTTACAAAGAAAATAAAATACCTAGGAATACAACTAACAAAGGATGTAAAGGATCTCTTCAAGGAGAACTACAAATCACTGCTCAAGGAAATAAGAGAGGACACAAACAGATGGAAAAGCATTCCATGCTCATGGTTAGGAAGAATCAATATTGTGAAAATGGCCATACTGGCCAAAGTAATTTATAGATTCAATGCTATCCCCATGAATCTACCCATGACCCTCTTCACAGAACTGGAAAAAAAAACACCTTAAACTTCATATGGTACCAAAAGAGAGCCTGCATAGCTAAGAAAATTCTAAGCAGAAAGAAACAAAGCTGGGGGCATCAGGCTACCTGACTTCAAGCTATACAACAAGGCTACAATAATCAAAACAGCATGTGACTGGTACCAAAACAGAGATATAGACAAATAGAAGAGAATGGAGGCCTCAAAGGCAACACCACACATATACAACCATCTGATCTTTGACAAGTCTGACAATAACAAGCAATGAGAAAAGGATTCCCTGTTAGTAAATGGTGTTGGGAAAGCTGGCTAGCCAAGTGCAGAAAGCAGAAAATGGACCCCTTTCTGACATCTTACACTAAAATTAACTCCAGACTTAAACATAAGTCCTAACACTATAAAACCCTAGAAGAAAACCTAGGCAAAACCATTCAGTACATAGGCATAGACGAGGACTTCATGACTAAAACACCAAAAGCACTGGCAACAAAAAGCCAAAATAGACAAATGAGATCTCATTAAACTCCAGAGGTTCTATACAGCAAATGAAACAATCATTAGAGTGAACCAGCAATCAACAGAACAGGAAAAAATTTCTGCAGTCTACCCATCTGACAAAGGTCCAATATCCAGAGTCTACAAAGAACTAAAACAGATTTACAATAAAAAAAATAATTATTTCAAAAGTGAGAGAAGGACATGAACAGACACTTTTCAAAAGAAGACATTTATGAGGCCAACAAATATACAAAAAAATGTTTATCATCACTGGTCATTAGAGAAATGCAAATCAAAACTACATTGAGATACCATCTTACACCAGTTTAAATGGCAATCATTAAAAAATATGGAGACAACAGATGCTGGAGAGGATGTGGAGATATAAGAACACTTTTACACTGTTGGTGGGATTGTAAATTAGTTCAACCATTGTGGAAGACAGTGTGGCAATTCCTCAAGGACCTAGAAATAGAAATTCCATTTGACCCAGCAATCCCATTACAGGGTATATATCCAAAGGATTATAAATCATTCTATTATAAAGATACATGCACATGTATGTTCATTGCAGCACTTCCAATAGCAAAGACCTGGAACCAACCCAAATGCCCATCGATGATAGACTGGACAAGGAAAATGTGGCACACATACAGCATAGAATACTATGCAGCCATAAAAAACGATGAGTTTGTGTCCTTTGTAGGGACGTGGATGAATCTGGAAACCACCATTCTCAGCAAACCGACACAGGAACAGAAAAACAAACACCACATGTTCTCACTCATGGGTGGGTGTTGAACAATGAGAACACATGGACAAAGGGAGGGGAGCATCACACAATGGGGTCTGTTGGGGCGGAAAAGGGGAGGGACAGCAGGGAGTAGGGATGTTGGGGAGGGATAACATGAGGAGAAATGCCAGATATAGGTGATGGGGTGGATGGAGGCAGCAAACTGCATTGCCATGTATGTACCTACGTAAAAATCCTGCATGTTTTGCACGTGTACCCCAGAATCTAAAGCACAGTAAAATATATATTTTTTAAAAATAATGAATTTGATAAATGTTCTAAGGAAATATGCTTGGTTCACTGGTAGGGCAGGGTCATGTTTTTGTTCCTGGACCAGGAACTATGGATGTTCCACCAATTGATATGACATTTTATAAGCTTAATAAATTTTATCTATCAAGCTGTGGTTATCAAAAGTTAGCTATACTAGTTAGTGCACTAGTAATACTCATACAATTATTTATGTTTTATCGGGATACCCTCTTCCTATATGTTAATAGGGCCAGCTTCTGAGCATGTGACAGGTTCCTATGTTTCACTTAATACTCTATTATTGCCATCATAAATTTTAAATAATTTTTGAAAAAAAAAGGATCCTGCATATTTATTTTCTACTAGTTCCACAAATTAGGCAGAAGTATTGATTGGAATGTAAGATACTTCCAAATTCTGTTATACTATTGCTATTTGACCAAATTGTCCTCACTTTTTGGAAATATTCTCTATTGTTTCTGCTTGGATTTGTGTATTTGTCAAAATAATGTCCATTTGAGTTATTTGACTTCTCACTACTTACCTTCCTTTCCAGGATGAGAAACCATTCTTACTTTCTCTCATAATTTATGTTTATTCAAATATATCCTATTACAAAGTTAACTATATATTTTTGTTAATTTTCAAATCTATCTTGCTACATTAATACAATTTTTGAATCTTTTCTATCTGCAGCACCTCGCAATGTGCCCAAGACACATGTAAGTACTTGAACATTTGTGAAAATAATAGATCTTATCAAAGAAGATTATCACATAAGCAACTTCTCATTGCCTAATTATATCTTAAAAACAAGGCACCTAGTTCTACGGTATTATAAAGTCCACATCCCTTTATTAACTATGTCTTTCTTCAACTCTAAAGGTTATAGATAGTGTCCAAAGGCAAGACTTTCCAGTAGCTATGCAAGTTGATAAACCTCTAATAAGTTGAAAGACTGCACCATAGCTTCCAAATTCACAATGTGATCCAAATTGTGACATTTTTTAGAATGAAAGCTATGCTATTAATAATTATGTCAGGACAATCAAAGTAAAATGACCATATCGTCACACAACAAGGATGTATATTTCCCCTAACTGTAGATTGTGCAGGTCTCTGATTTTTTGTACTATTTTATTTTTATTTAATATTTTATGAATAAAATCATTCATTACTTGTTGGTCAAGGTAATTGCCATGCATTTAACATTCTGATTAATTATCATCACCAACCTCATTTAAACAACTCATCTTTGTGATTTTGACAATCCTATGTAAACAGCTTGAGAAGAGGCTTTCCCCTCTCTATTACATAGTCCAAGGGGAA